TTAGGGAAGAGTGCATCTGTACCCTGGTGATTTGCAATGCCACTTTATCACATATCAAATATTTGTAAATGTAGGGGCCTATTTCTGCAATTTGTCTCCTTATATTCTCCAATTCATTTATTGTTCTCCCATTCTAATGGTCTGCTCGATGATATTTACACACACACACACACACATATATATATGTATATAAATTTCGATGTCTGAAAGCATGAATACTTGCATTTAATTCTTCTTTTTTCAAAAATAGTTGTAACTATTTACAAACCCTTGTCTTTATGTATTTTTAAATAATCATATCAAATTACATTAAATTCCATTGATATTTTTATTTAAATTATATTAAATATTGCTTAATTATGGGAAGTATTTTTATTCATTTTTGTATTTTTACTTGTACTTTTACATAAACTTTACAAATTTCTCCCTAAAATTGTATTCACTGTATATCATTTTTAATATGTTATTGTTCTTAATAAAATGCCATTTCTTTTTAGTAATATTTTCTATTTCTTGGTTCAATCTGTAATGATATCACATATTTTAGACATATTGGTAGACTACTTTATTTATTGTCATAATTATTTTTCCATGCTTTGACATTTTCTGATAGGTAATATAGTGTTTTTTAAGTAACAACTGTTTTAACTTTACAAAACTTTATAACACTGTTAATGTTTTCTTATTTTATTGGTTGGTAAGAATTTACAGAAAAATGCTGAATTGCATTATCACTTGTTCCAGACTTTTAAAAGATGCTTCAAATGGCCCATTTTTGGAAGATTTTTGAAAGTTTTGTTGAAAATAATTATTTTATTAATTCAAGCAAAATGTTTCATGAGTTTATGGCATGTTTTAACATTTTTCCATTTACTTAGATAATTTTTGTCTTTATGAATGTGACAAACTTTATGTTTTTAATATAGTAAATCATGACTTCATATAGGATAAAGCTAACTTTGTCACTATGTAAATTTAATTTTCTAACACCTCAATTAGCTGTATCCTGTATTTTTACACAATGACTATATCTAATGGATTTTAAAAATAAATTGCTTGCCACTCTTGTTGCATGCTGTGAGCTGGAACTATCCCTGTTTTCCTTAGGAAAGGGAGCCTTGGTGAGGGTAGGTTAGGAGGCTTTAGAGAGACGCACCCACCTGGGGAATGTGCTCAGGGGAAGATAGACCTGTGGAATGCTATGCTGGGAATGTTACATGGCATAATTATTTATAAACAAACCTGTAAATGTGAACACAAAACATTAAAATTCAACCTACTTAAATCATAGCTGTTGGGGGATCCATCATCTTTACTGTTATATGCAAACTAATTCATGGCCAGTGAGATATGTGGAGAAGTCTTTGAAAATTAAAAAGCTCCACATAAACACAAGAGGTCTTTATATTAAAAGGAAAAAAATTCTACTTGAGCCACAGCTTGATTTTTTTTCAACCTTATGAGACAGGTATAGTTGCAAAATCTCTCTGCGCAAGCTATAAAAATAATCCTTTCAACACTGTCTTGTTAAATGACTTGAGCCGGATGCAGAAAGACAAGTAATTCATATTTTCCCTAATATGTGAAATCATAAAATATAAAAAGACACGAAGGTAGAAGAGAGGCTGTAAGACAAGAGAAAGTGAGGACAAGAAAGGGCAAAGGCAGGCGCTTTTGAGCGAAACCGGCCGTAGATGTGGGCTCCAGACATTTCCCAGGTGTGTGGGACAATCACCAGCTCTCAACAAATCATCGTAATCAGGGTCTCATTATCCTTACTGGTATCAAAAAGATATTCCTGCTCACATGTCTTCTCCATCTCATATCCGTTACAACCATGCTCTGTTAGCTCTTTCTGGTGAAGTGATAAAAAAAAAAAAAAATACTCAATAGCTCTAACCTCGACTGACAATATGAGTTCATGTTAACAGGCTACAGAATACCCATTTCTGAGCTGGGAAGATGGCAGAACAGGGAGCAGCAAAGAAAACAGCCTCTCTGAGAGAAATAGTCGAATGCTGGAATATAGCATTCTGGAGAAGACAAGAAGGAAAGAAGTGAGTCCCCTTGACCCAGGAAGAAACTAAAGTGAGAACTGAAGTCCACTGAGAGAATAAAAAAAAAAAAAAAAAAAAAAAAAAAAAAAAAAAAAAAAAAGAAAAGAAATAAAAGAAAAAGAAAAACTTAGACAGAAGAAGGTGGTAGCCAGTGGTGCTTTCACCAAAGCCGGAACCACCATGCCAGAAGTGCTGTTGGAACCCGGAGATGCATGGGCACAGTGAAGCTGGTGGCTAGCAAGCCCAAAGGCCAGGGTGTTGATGTGGTGGCAGAGGGGAGCGGCAGACCAAAGAACTGTACTGGCTGGCAGTGAGTGTGCCGGGACTCAGTTCTCCCACAGGAGTGGGAGATTGGCTGAACACCATTTTGGAGTTAAGCAGGTAAGCCTGGAGACAGAACTGCAACTGGCTTTGTTCCGCCACTCCTAGCTCGGAGCAGACTGGTGGGAATTGCTTGGACTGAGTCCCACCCCTCTGCACAGTCCAATAGCCAGTGCTGAGGTTTCACTAAAGCTGTCCCTGATCAATCGCACCTTCCTGGTGCACACTAACATGGTGAAGACTTGCTGTGGTTAACCAGCTCAGAAAAGAGGGCCAGCCTGCTCTGCCCCTGCTTGCACTACAGCAGCCTGGGGAAAGCAGCAAACAGCAGACATCCCTAGCCAGCACACTTCAGAGTAATTATAACTAATACAGGAAGTGCTGGGGACCCCACTACCCACTTGTCTGGAAGAAACCAGAAACATGCAAGAGGAAGAAGCAAAAGGCAGTCTCTGACCTCCAATCCAAGCAGTACTGGCCCAGGAGAGGTAAACACAGAAGAGATCAGGAGTTGCACACCTGCACTTTTTGAAGCAACAGCAACTAAAATAAAGAAACAACTCCATGAAGCTATAAAAGAACATAGAACAGAAATACTATTACAGGTAAAAGAAGATATGAGAAACATAATGAAAGAATTGCTAAGCACCTCTAAGAAGACACAGATTAACAATACAGGAGCATAGAAAAAGGAGGTAAAGCTTCAATGAAGGATATTTAAAAAATTTAGAACACATTAAACAGATTCAAAGATTAGCAGGAAATTAAAAACTCCATTAAAAGCTGGCAAAAGTGTTTGAAAGAAACTAAAGATAGACTATCAAACCATAAAGACAGGTTTGCAGCTTGTGATCGCAAAACAAAAAATCTCTTAAAAAAACAACACAAAGGGGGCTGAGGATTTAGCTCAGTGGCATAAGCACCTGCCTTGCAAGCAGGCAGTCGTGCGTTCGATCCCCAGTACTGATAAAAAGAAAAAAAGACAAAAAACAAAAAACAAAAAAACAAAAAAAAAAAAAGCAAAGAACTAAGAAGTAACAATACAAAGGCTAGAAGATGACAAGAGGATCTATAACTTAAGAATAAAAAATGTGAATGAAAAAGCAAGGGTAAATACAAATGAAATACAAACGCTATTTACAGAAATTATTAAAGAGAACTTCCTAAGCATAGGAAAAGGAAATGATATTCAGATATATGAGGCATACAGAACTCCAGCCAGCTATAACCAAAACAGATCTACACCCAGATATATAATAATCAAGATCCCAGACATTCAATATAAGAACAGAGTAATAAAAGCCATCAGAGAAAAGGAACAGATCACTTATAAAGGAAAACCCATCAGAATCACGGCTTCTCGACACAAACCATCAAATTAAGAAAAGCTTGAAGTGAAGTATTCCAAGTCCTGAAAGAAAATAACCTCCAACCCAAATTGATATACCCTGAAAAACTATCTCTCAAAATTAATGGAGAAATAAGATAGTTCCATGACAAAGAGGAACTGGGGGAGTTCATGACCACCAGTCCAATGCTACAAAAAATACTGAAGGACATTCTAGAGAGAGAGAGAGAGAGAGAGAGAGAGAGAGAGAGAGAGAAAAGACCATGGTTTCAGGAACAGTGGCATAGAGGGCTCACTGAATGGGGAGCTTGTCCATCAGCTGCAGATTGGCTAGAAAGCCATAATACTATTATACAATGGAAAACTACTCAGCTATAAAGAAAGAAAATCTTGAGACTCTTGTAGGTAAATGGATACAACTCAAGATCTTGCTCAGGGGTAAAAAGTTTCAGAATCACTTAGGTGAATAGCAGGCTGCTGCCCTAATCTAAAAACAAAAGGAGTCAGTGGGATGCAAAATGTACAATGCACCCTGTGAAAGTGAAAGGGGAGGAATTGTCTAAAAAGGGAAGGCAGTGGGCATTGTTAATTTTTTTTATCACTATTTGAAACCCATATTGTTTTCATCATTCTGTTTAGTTTGGTTTTATTCTGTTTCAGTTTATCTACTTGTATTAGATTAAATGGCATGGACAGCTATTCCAAAATAGTAGGATATACTACAGTGACCATTTTGGATTTCCTATGAACTTAATTTGAAGCCCTGTATGCTTTCACTGTCTTGGTTTGACTGATTTTATTCTATTCTGTTTTGTTTGATAGTATCAAGTCTGAGGATATAGGCAACTACTTTGAAGACAATCACTATGATGCCCATTCTGGTTTGACTATTATCTTCTCTTGAAGTCCTGTAATGTCTCCAATGTTTTATTTTTATTGGTTTTGTTTGATACTGTTTTGTTCAACTTTATTATACCTAATGATATGGGCAATTCTTTTGACGATAGCAAGAGGCATTACAGTAACCATTGTTGTACCTTGTATTTTGTTTTTATGCCATGTACTATGTCCATCCTTTTGTTTTGATTATTTTCTTTTGTCACATTCGGTTTTATTCTCTTCAAAATAAATTTTAAAAATACTCATTTCTTCTCTGCTGTCTAATACCTCAGCTTTAGGTGCACCATTCTGTAAGTGTTTGTAGCAGTAGAGAAGGATCTATAGCAAAATATGTTGTCACTAGTATTTTCTAATTTGAAAGCAGAACATGTTCATCCGTGTTCTCATCATTTATTGTGCATCCATTAAATGCTCTACAGACATGAAATGAATAAATACAAAATTTCCCTTTCCTGACAACGATGCATCTCTTCACATATTTACCTTGTAAGCATCCTTGCCATGAGCCCCGTCCACCTTTCCATTTTCAGGTAAATGTACTTCAGCCACTCTAGAGTTCTTTGAATAAGGTTTGCTGATAGAAGAGTAGCTACAAAAACAGGTGCAGCAGAGACTTGAGTATAGGCCCCGTGTTTGTTTATCTCCTGTGATGCAAATACTGCCATAAAGACTTTGATGACAACAGTTCATTTAATCTTCTTAAAAAAGCAAAACAGGTACATACATTTCCTTTTCATCAGTGTGAGCACGGCTAAGAAACTGGTCAAACTGGTGCGTCTGTGATAGGCCAGGGTTTCCTCTATTTCCAAAATCACGGAATCAGAGGGATAGTGTCCACTCACGTGGAAAATGTGACAGCTTTGCAAAGGGATGTCGATGTCCGCTCCCGGCCGGCAGGAAGGACACACGACAAAGCCTGGCAGTGGACAACCTTTTCTTTTATTTTTCTTCTCCGTACAGCCTGCCCTGGGATCGCTCCCAGCCGAAGCCTCCTCTGGTCCGCTCCCCGCGGCTCCTTCTGGGCTTCTACTTCCGGGCTTCTTCTTCCCCCCCAGGGGTGGCACCAGTATATATACGGATACAGTGTCCAATCATGTTAAAGTAAGCAAGGCAAGCTGATTGGCTAACATCATCAGTTGCCAGGCAGACTATATTGTTGAGCGGGTTGCTTACGCGGTAAGCAGGAAACTAACGTGCTCGATGGGAGGGGTAATCTACCTCAGGCTTTACTCTTTACTACAGGCCTCACGTCCGCCAAGTGAGGCGACCGGGCTCGGGGCTGCGGCTCCCAACATCTCCCCCTTTTTTATTTTTTATGAATGTGCGCATCGTAGCTCTTTCTGGACTGGGTGCAGAGGCTTATGCCCTATGCGTAGGCCCACCGTAGGTCCTTGGCTTAGACCCTGGTCGGCCGTCCCATGGTATGCCAAGGCCCTGAGGCCCTCGTCCTTTTTCTAGGGCCAGGCACAAACTGGACGGAACCTGGATGCACACAAGCTTGCACTCATTTCCTCTCCGTAAAGAAATCCCCTCGGAGAGAAATTTAGACCTGGGCAGCATCTAACAGTCCAGCGGCTTACGTGCAGGATGGGGTAGGGCCTGGCTTAGGTTGAGTCGCACCGGGGGAGTACGCTCTTACCCGTCATTGACTCTCCTACCCAGCTATGTCATAATTTTTTAGAGGAGGAGTGTGGGAAGCTCACCACCCCTAGACTCGGTCGTAGGCTAGGCGAGCGAGCCATGCATATGTCTGAGGATCTTCTTGTCCATTTCGGGCTACCGCTATTTCTATTCATCTTGTTGGTTGGTCTGTGATGGATCTCCGGTAGGGCAGGTCTGATCTTCAGTCGAGGGCTTTGTCGCCTGTGTCAGTCTCTCCGGTACCCACAGTGGTTCTCGTCCCGATTCCTGTGGGAAAACACAAACCGCGCCTCGGTTCCAGCTGACCACTGGATCCGGGCCCATCCATTGTCCTGTCAGGACATCTTTCCACTTCACCCACCCTTTATGGTTGGGGGAAGGGTTGCAGTGCTCCACGGCTGGGGAGCAATTATCATTATTTAAATTTAAAAAATTGTGTGTGAATAGTGCCATGGATAATCGTGCCTTTGGGGCCAGGCCTTGGCCTACTCCCCCTTTTTGTTTTTTATTTTTTTATTTTTTATTTTTATCTTTTTCGTTTTTGTTTTTTTTTTTTTTTTTTTTTATTGGTACCAGGGATCGAACTGGCGATTGCCTGCTTACAAGGCAGGCGCTTATGCCGCTAAGCTAAATCCCCAGCTCCCATTTCCTCGACCGGCGTTTTTCTCAGCCTGCTCGGCAGAGAACTCTGTGTAACTACCCGAGGGCAGACACGCCTTTGCCAGCTGAATCCAGTCCGCGGGGGTGAGGGGCCCAGAAGACAGGTTCTCCAGCATGGCAATGGTGTAAGGCGCAGTCGGCCCAAAGGTTGTAACTGTATTTTTAAGTTCTCTAATTTGCTTTATCTCAAAAGGCTCCCATGCATTACGTCCCTGGCCCATAGCTACTTGTACAGGAAATATCCCGTAGGGGCCACTATCTATCCCAGGTGGTGGATGTACCTCATGAGACAAACGTCCCCCCTGCCAAAGCCGCCTGTAAAAATACCGACCCGCCGGCGGCGGAGCATAAGACGGCGGCCATGATTGGGCGGAAAGTGGGGGCCCGTGCATCACTTCCTGTTCTGGCGAAGGGGAAGGGAGCTCCCGGGCGGCCGCCTCGCGGCGAGGGATCGCTTCCGGGAACACCCCCCAAGGTGGGGCGGAAGGCTTCGCCTCCCTCTCGCGCCGGGGAGCGCTCAGGAGCTCCCTACTCCTCCGCAGACCAAGTTGAGCGGAGCGCAATTCACGGCGCAACGCTGGGAAAGAACCCTGCGACTCCTTATCGAGCGACTTAGGCTCCTGACAGCTGGTCTCTTTGGCCTCCTTGCCATTCAACTTTCCCTCGTCCTCGGAGTCAGACGACTCCGAGGCTAGAGCCCCGTCCTTCTCCTTAGCATCTTTGTTCCCCTTGACGGGCCCCTCTCGGGAGCTCCCCGACTGGGCCTGCTCAAATACCCTGCGTACTTTTGTAAGCTCTTGAGAGCTTTCTCCACAACCACCCTCGCTCTTAGTGTTGCTACCTAGCATGTTTCCCATCTTTTAATATGTTACTCACCGCGTGAGGCCCAAGGAATCCGCCACTTACGCGTGAGCCTGAGGGGAGTCTAAAAGCCCTGTAGGTGCGCGCCACCCAGAGCCCAGGCTTATCCCCAACTCACCTGTCTCGCAGCTCTGTACTGGAGCGTTGTCCGCTGTCACGTCTCGGGGGTGATCAGTCCCCGTATGGGCCACCAAATGTCGATGTCCGCTCCCGGCCGGCAGGAAGGACACACGACAAAGCCTGGCAGTGGACAACCTTTTCTTTTATTTTTCTTCTCCGTACAGCCTGCCCTGGGATCGCTCCCAGCCGAAGCCTCCTCTGGTCCGCTCCCCGCGGCTCCTTCTGGGCTTCTACTTCCGGGCTTCTTCTTCCCCCCCAGGGGTGGCACCAGTATATATACGGATACAGTGTCCAATCATGTTAAAGTAAGCAAGGCAAGCTGATTGGCTAACATCATCAGTTGCCAGGCAGACTATATTGTTGAGCGGGTTGCTTACGCGGTAAGCAGGAAACTAACGTGCTCGATGGGAGGGGTAATCTACCTCAGGCTTTACTCTTTACTACAGGCCTCACGTCCGCCAAGTGAGGCGACCGGGCTCGGGGCTGTGGCTCCCAACAAAGGGAGAATAAAAGGAAAAGAAAACTGGAGTCCTGGTTATTGCTTTTAAAAGGGCAAGGCAGTTTTCTAAACCAAGTGGAGTTAACCGAAGCCTGCAGCAAATGCCTTAAATTGGCGCATCGCCCCCTCTGCTGGCGAGAATGAGAATCTCCGAAATGTAAAATCATATGTGTTACCGTGAAATTTGAATCAACTATGCAAAATGCACTCTTTCCTGTTTAGAAATGATGGTTCCTTACAAACAAGAGTTCAGAGTATGGAACGTCCCAGGGGAGGAATGGTGGATGCTCTGGGGTGGTTTTGTTACGCGTCACCAAAATGTTCTGCTGTGCAAACTGGGCTGGACGAACAGAAAGATGAGTCTTCTCAGTTTTAGGTGACTTTCTTATGCTCTGTAGTCTGCAGTTTTCCTGCATGAAAACTAAATAACCAGGTTTGCTGGCACACACACTTTAATTCCAGCACTCTGGGAGGCTGAGGCAACAGAATGCAAAGTTCACGGGTGCCCTGGGAAATTTAGCGATTTAGGCAGACCCTGTCTCAAAAGGAGATAGAGAGCTCAGTGACAAGGCGATGAGTTAATTTACAGCAGGGTGAGGGAGGGAAAATGAAAAGGAGAGGGAAGGGGGAGAGACAGAGAGAGAGAGACAGAGACAGATAGAGAGAAAAAGGCAGAAACAGGCAGACAGACAGAGAGACAGAGACAGAGAGATATTGAGAGAGAGGCTGGGAAAACCAGAGCAAGAGATAACTATATCAGCCATATAACATTTAATAGCTGTGCTATAGTGTATAAAACCTGCCATACATTGTATCATAAGGATTATCAAAGCAAGGACCTAGACCTTAAATCAGGAGTGAGGTCACCAAGCCTCAAATATTTTCTATGCATTGAGCAAATAGAACTCTTAATAGGGAATCCAAGTTTCAAACTTATCTTCTCATTTAAAAGCTAAGAGATTTCTGACTTAGTGCATGTTTCTCTCAGATTGTACCTGGCCCTGCATACGAGAAGCTTTATTAATTCCTGGGTCATGTTGGCAAAGTCAGAGTACAAAAATGGACCTGTTACTCAGCACGATAGCTTCCAAAAGGGATTCTCAGTTAACCCCTCCTATTCTTTCCACAAATTATTCTTTTATGTATTTTCCCAAATTGTAAAGTAAAGAATTCAATCAATAAGTACACGACATTGCATGATTCTACTAAAGACAAAACATTCAAATTAGGCCAATTTATAAAGGCAACACATGTGATAATGGTTGTCCAGATGACAATACTGCAGTTTACAATGTCTAACAACATCAGGGCCTTCGCAGCAACTTGTGGAGGAATCCTCATAGCCTGGGACTCTACCCAGCTTGGTAAACACCCAGTGTCTCAGCCACTGTCTGCTGCAGTGACCTGAGGAGGCCATCACTGTTGATAACCTGCTAGCTGGGCAGGACCTGAGTATGGAATCTTGTGTATCAGATACCCTGGCTACTCAGCTTTGTCTCAGGGACTTACTAGAAGCTACATTTTTGACAAGAAACAAGAAGAACCGATAAGAATTTTTCAAGCATAGGCAAATATAAGCACAATTCTGGAGGAGCTCAGAAATATTTAGAGCATTTAGCTCTAGGAAAAATAAAGTTTCCATTAATTTCACAAGATAGAGATGTTACAATTGGTAAGTCTAAAATGAGCTATTGACACACATTTTCAGGGTTGGAAATATGGCAGTAACCCTGGCACTGTTTGTAGACTTCAAAATAAATGTTTTGTCTTTTACAAATGAAGAACAAAGATAGGTGGATGTTAATAACTTGTTCTGGATAGGAAGGGTAATACGTAGAGATGTCTCCATTCAAATGCAGACCTAGGAAGACAAAACAATCCTCTTTTGAATAAAGACTGTGGTTTATGTTTTGAGATCATTAATGTGCATGGACATTGAGGTATTGCAAAAATTGCATACCTGTCCCTACAACATTTCTCCCTGTTACATACATCAACAAGTACTCCAGGCATTGTTTAGAAATACATACTGCAAATAAGCATTTTATTAAATACACTTATTACTGGGCAGTTTTTTACAATTTAAATTCAGTCATTTCAATACAAACTAACTCAGAGTATGAGAAGAATTACCTAAATTGCTTGGTGCTTTATATTCAAAACAATTACAATTGATGCCCTGAAGTAATTAAGATAATATTAGTTGACTCTTTTGTGCCAGGAATGAGATATTTTTGTACCCTGCACATATCCAATTGCATATATATAGCAGAAAAGAAGCCAAATATCCATTAATGAAAAATACATGAGACATACATACATAACATTTTATACAAATATTTCTTCTTAAATGGAATGTTTTTACCTAATGGAGAGTTTGGTCTTAATTTGTTTGTTTGTTTTTCCTTTTTCCTGTTAAACATTTCCACTTTTTATCTAAGGAGAAGCAGCACTTGGATGTCTCTAAAAGCAGGCACTGTGTTTTTCACTAAACCTGGTGGCCCTCCCTTCTACAGCAAGTTTGGAAAATATTCTCAAGCTTATTTAACTCAGTAGAGTTGAAATAATTTTTCAAGAAATCTCTCAAATAACCTCATACTGATTTTGTTTATGTTGGTATATTAGACAGCTTTCTCATTAATGGACAAGATACCCAACACCTGCAATTTAAAGAAGGAACCGGTTAACTTCGGCTCACTGTTTCAGAGGATGCAGGCCCTGGTCAGCTGCTCCAAGGCAGGAGCATCGTGGTGGAAGGGTGTGACAGGGCAGAGAAGCTCAGTGCCTGGTAACCAGGAAGCAGAGCAGGGAAACAGTGTCAGAGGTCAGGGACCTGACACAGTAACCTAGGTTATACCCTCCCTGCCCATCCAGACACGCGCCGAATGAGCTTTACTAATGCTTGGGGTGTTTCTCATTCCACTCAATTGTTATATCAAGATTAATTATCAGAACTGGATAGAAATTACATGGTCTTGGCCTAAAACTAAGCCAAACAAGTCAGCAGATTGCAAATTTGGAAAACCTGTGAAACTGTTTCTGATTTTGTTGCTGTTGCTTGCTTTTTTGTTTTGTTTTGTTACTTTTGGCTCTAAATTAATGTTCCTTATTTTAGTAAAGGGCCCTTTTTAGTATCACAGGTGTTCATTTATCCTTTTTCTCCTTTTCCTTTTTGCATGACTAAAGGTAGCTTTACCACTTAGCATTATACAACTTTCTAAAAGTAAAGTCACCAGGGGCTATTTTTAAAGTGGAAAATAATGCTTTCCACAAGCATTTTGATTTAAACATTTCCAGCCATTTGCCTTGTTTCTATGCTGTCAGTCCTGACATATCTTTCATCTTATAGATCTTTGAGGAGCTCTTTTTTGCCATCCAAATTGGACTCGACGCCCTGCCCTGTTTTGGTGTAGCTCATAATGGTATTCTCAAAGATCTTAGCAGGCTAAGCTGCCAACATCAAGCCTTTAATTCATCTGACCAGAAAAAAGACACAAACAAACAAAAATCTCAAAAGCTTGCCTTTCTACTGAAGAGAATTTTCAGTTAAGTTTAGCATATTTCACTTAACAATCACACTTTATAACTGTGCGGAACTGTTTTATTAGGAATCTTATAATCATGACTTCTTCCTTTGATGATAATCCTTCTTAACACAGATTTATCTCCACTATAATTCACCTAAAGCAGCTTGTAATTCCCTGAGATCCTTATAGGAACTTGGTTCTTAATTTTTTTTTTTTTTTTTTTTTTTTTTTTTTTTTTTTAGTGTTCACTTTTTTCCTGTTTGTCCAAATGATAAAGGCAAGTCATTTTGTGGTATTCTGTATTAATCTGTGCCAGACCTTTGAATTTGCACTTCCCTGGACCACCCCATATCCTCCATCCCATAGAAGTCAGCAAATTGAGATCCCAGAAACACTCATAAGCAGCCATACTGAATCTCTGAGTTCTCGGGGAACTTGAGGCCCTTCCCTGCTTCACCTCCGCAGCCCATCTGTACCTATCCTGTTCTTCCCTCCCGTTTCTTACCTCAAAGACCAAACCAACCCTGACTCTACTCCGGAAGGATCCTGGTGTCTCCTACCTCTCCAAGGACCATCTCAGAAGCTGAGGAGGATGCTCTGCTCAAAGGCTTTATTCCCCAGGCTCTTCCCACAGGCACAAACTCGTGAAAACGGGCTCAGTTATTTCCCACACCAAGCAAGCAAGCCATCCCACCCTTTTCCCCATGGCTCCATAGACCTCGCTTTATTTATTTTCTTCTTTTCTTAGACCAGCAAAGCTCCAGAGACAGGAGTCTATTCACTGCCATCTTTCTTTCTATTCCACAAACACAAATCTTCATACTGAACATTTTCAATACCTTTTGAATGTTCTGTTGAAAGTACAACCTGAATTCCTTATATCCAAGGGACTATCCTACCTTTATTGTATTTCTACTACAGTCAGTACAGTATTTTTACATCAGCTGGCAACTTACTCCTTTTGAAAGACAGTGTTTAATCATTGTCCTTTTTATTGAGTAAAACATTTCATTAGTAAAGACTCACAATTGTAGGTGAGCAGCTCAATAAAGTTTTAGTATGGAGTCACCCATGAAACTCCCAATACAACTCAAAACTTAGGACACTTCTGGCATCTGACAATCATCACAATCTCCTTTCTAGACAATACATCCTGTATTTACCTACATCTTAGCCTCCATAACCTTAAATCATTTTACTTTAGTTCAGAATTTCACATTATAATTTGGCATTCTTCTGCATGGACTCATACTCTGTGATGTGTCCCATACGCACTCATATTATGTCATGTAGGAGAGATATGTAGTATTTCATAGTTTCTTGACTGTTAACTAACGAGAAAATGCAAATTGTTTATTTTTTCTATAATAGTGAGCGCCTTAGGCTGTTTCTACAATGCCAAGCATTCTTTATTTTGGATTTGTGGATATGCGCATGTATTTTCAGAGATAAAATTGCTGAGTTA